TGTTATAAAAAGTACTTGCAATGTGGCATTAACTGCAGAACAAGATGCTACTAAATGGAGGCTTTTGACACTGCTGGATCCAGGTTTGAACAAAGGCCATCTTATTGTCAGTTTGGTCCAATAGACACCAGCTGGTAACTGAGGCAAAAATGATAACATATTGCCCTATTAAAGGGATCATATGATGCGATTTCAAGTTTTCCTTTCTCTTTGAAGTGTTACAAGCTGTTCGTGAATAGATAAGATCCCTAAAGTTGCAAAGACTAAAGTCTCAAACCCAAAGAGATACTTTATACTCGTCCACGCCTTCCTAAAACACCTCGTTTAAACACGCTCCCACATGTCTACGTCACTGTGTGGGAAGATTTGCATAACACCGCCCAAATGTTCACGCAAAGAAAGGTGTAACTTTGATTCTCGCTGTAGTATTGTTGCCGCCGCTGCCATGTCGTGGAGACGCTGTGTTTCGTTGTGAAAGCGAAACTACTTTGTTTGGTCTTCCAAAAGAGAACACAACTAGAAATCAGTGGTTAAGTTGTATTTACAACACTGTTCCAGAACAGTTCAAACCAAATATTCAGATGTGTGCAACGCATTTTACAGAGGACAAGGACTGTTCCCTGGGAGAGTAGCCTACAATGCCGGTGTTCTGACAAATGCTGACTCACAGCCTGCAAGTAGTTTTCATATTTAAAGGATTTGCCGCGGATGATTCAAACGAGAGTTGATCAGTGTAGAGTAGCAGCTTGTTTGTCATTTCTCAGATCACAAATACAGACATGGTTGTTTACGCGGCGCAACACGTAAAAAGACAGTGCAAATCATTCAGTAATTATGTCCCCAGTGGATGCTACAAATGCCTCGTTTGTAATGGTTCTCATCACAATATGGTAAGTGGCATAACATTTCCATCACAAGCTTGAGGTAGTCGGCCAATCACAACACACTGGATAGCTGGCCAATCAGAGCACACCTAGCTTTTCAGAAGGATGAGCTTTGTAAAAAGAGGCGTTTAAGAAAGGTGGAGCATAGAGGAGAAACAATGTAGTGCGGAAAATAATGTTGTTTTACCTTAAAGGGGTCATATGATGCGATTTCAA